AAGAATGTCTTGCATTCAAAAGCTTGTCTAATTCTATCGCAGCTACACAGGTCGTCCCATAAAAGCTAGCCCTCTAATAAATCTTTGCTTCCTGCATAATTTGGGACCATCACAGCTACATCACTGCCTTACCTTGTTAGGACCTAGTTCAGGAAGACACTTATACATGTGTTGGTTTAAAACATATAATTAAATAGAATTGATTTTAATGGATTCTTAAATAGGCCTTGAAGGTGCACAGCATTTACATAATGAGCTACACTAATAACACCAGAGCTGATATTCCTTGGTAGAGATGCCAAAGAATTTTGTAGTGACTTTGGTCATTTGAGTTTAATCAGCACCATTTTTGTTCCTGGCGCAATGCTTCAACAAAGGGTGATTCCAGTTGCTTCTCTCTCCCTTTCAAGTTCTTCCTCCTCCTTTTTTTTTTACTTCTTTCTAAGAAGTAACAGACCAGTAGAAACCTAAAACGATATTCAGCAGCTTTATTCTTAAAGTCTTAAAATTAAGGGTCACTTTGTCTGAACTGCATCAAATATTTGGTAGAAAAAAAATATTTTTTGAAATGAGGCATGTAAAAGATGGGGCTGAAATTTGGCTTTAAATAAAAAATCATTTGCAATCTTAGTTCTGAAACAATGGCTTTCACTCCATTAATGAATCAGTATTTTACACAGTGTTCCTATGTATAGTTGTCAAATGTAATGTTACAGTTAACATTATTGTCATTTTATTGGCCCCACTTACTGTGAATTTTCTTTCACCATTCAAAAAATGCATTTGTTTTCAGTGCTGTTTTGTACAGCTCTGTGGTTACAAGGGTAAATTAGTTCCTAACTGATACTTCAATGCCTAGAGAATTTGCTTACTTCTTGCAAAAATTTAAGATGTAGTTAATAGAATTTATTTATTGAACTCTAGAATACCTATTTTCAGATAGAGTATCTGAGCTCTTGTACAAGATTTAAATAAAGGAACCAAATTGTGCTCAATGCCCAGAAGAACTTGCAAAGAAAAATCCAGAAAGATGTATAATTGTCTTTTTAGTGTTATACAGACCAAAATAGAAAGACCTCACACTGGACCTTGGGAATCTGATGGAAATTCTCATAGATGAAGGTCCAGAAACATTTTTCCTAGACCAAAATACTTTTTTCTGCTCTTAGCATCTTGGGCCAGAGATCTTGCTACATAGGTGTATTTAGTTTCCTTGCAGAAACATAGAGGAAGAGGTGGGACAATGTAAGGCCAGGATTATGTCCTTTGGCCACTGCACATGTTACTGGTGCAGTGATCCCAGCAATGATCCCAGCAGTTGTGTCTCTTGCCATGGGAGGACACATCATTTTGGGATCAGATTCTACTTGCACCATTACTATTTGCCAGTGTAGGGAGCCCGGGGTCATGACCCCAGCCCCCACCAGCAAGTAGAAAGCCGGGTGCCCAGTGAACTGGTGTGTCCTGGGGGTGGGACTGACAATTAGCTGGTTGTCAGTCTCGGTTCCAGGACCACATTGGAACCGGTTGGAGACTCTGGTGGAGTCCCAGGCTGAGACCAACAATCTGCCAATTGTAATCTCAGCACCAGAATCGTACTAGGGGAGTTTGAGACTCTGGTGCAATCCCAGGGCCAAGACTGACAACCAACCCTAGGCCACACAGGGACCTGTCCCAAAATCCTGCCATGCAGTCAGCATAAGGCTGCATGGCAGGGATCCTGTCACATGTTTAATTTAGGACACAAAAGAAACCAGCTACAAAATTATTACACATTTTTTGTGGAATCATTTTTTGTCTTATTTCCCATTTTATCACACCACTAATTGCATGAACATGGGGCCAGGTTACTATTAAAGTTACAATTAACTGGTTGTCTTAAGTGTAATGTCTGCCAGAAGTCTTAGAAACAAAGGACCAAAAGTAGTACAGTAAGTTGAAGGAGATACACACAGAAGAGAGATAATTTAGAACTGTTCTTTAAAACGTGAGTGATATTGCAAGGCATCGTTGTTCTCTAAAATCCACTTCATGGCCACATCATGAAACTGTCTTTACCTCTTGGTTCACTGTCCCACAAATAGGAACTTGGTGCATCCTGATAGATGCCATGTATTCCATTATCATGAGCTTTCTGTATTTCTCCTCCTTTATTCTCATGTTAATCAACAGCTAAAATATATTTACATACCTCTACTAATGGCAGAATTGTCTCTTAATCTGTTTTAGAAGGTATTTTTAATTTTCATCTAAGTTTGTTTCCCTTTCTCTCTTATCTTGCCTTATTAGCACACATTATATGGACATTTCCTTTCTCTTTTTTTACTGTATATCTTTTCATAGTTTCATAGTTTCTAGGGTCGGAAGGGCCCTGAGCAGATCATCTAGTCCGACCCCCTGCCATGGCAGGAAAGAGTACTGGGGGTCAAACAACCCCAGCAAGGTGTTCATCTAACCTCCTCTTAAAAACCCCCAGGGTAGGAGCCTGCACCACCTCTCTTGGAAGTTGGTTCCAGACCCTAGCCGCCCTGACCGTGAAATAGCGCCTCCTGATGTCTAACCTAAACCTACCCTCTGCCAGCTTGTGACCGTTATTCCTGGTCACTCCTGGCGGTGCTCGGGGGAACAGTGACTCCCCCAATGCCTGCTGATCCCCCCTGACTAGTTTATAACAGGCCACAAGATCCCCCCTCAGCCTTCTCTTTTGGAGGCTGAACAGGTTCAGGTCCCGTAGCCTCTCCTCATAGGGCCTGCCCTGCTGTCCCCTGATCATGCGAGTGGCCCTCCTCTGGACCCTCTCCATGCTGTCCACATCCCTCTTGAAGTGTGGTGCCCAGAACTGGACACAGTACTCCAACTGCGGCCTGACCAGTGCCGCATAAAGGGGGAGGATCACCTCTTTTGACCCGCCTGAAATGCATCTGTGGATGCATGACAAGGTACGGTTGGCCTTCCTAACTGCCTCCCCACACTGCCGACCCATGTTCATCTTGGAGTCAACATTGACTCCAAGATCCTTTTCCGCCTCCGTGCTGACAACAGGGGAGTTCCCCAACCTGTAGGTATGGTGCCGGTTGTTCCTCCCCAGGTGCATCACCTTGCACTTGCCTGTGCTGAAACCCATCCTATTCTCATGCACCCATCCTTGTAACCTGTCTAGGTCAGATTGTAGCCTGTTTCTTCCTTCTAGTGTGCCCACGTCCCCCCACATCTTTTGAAGATGACTTGTTTGAAAAACAATCTAGAGAAAGTTCAAAGCACTAATTCTCAGTTTGTGAATAACTCTATGCACTGAAGACAAGGAATATTAATCGGGCCAGGGAGAAGAAGAGAGATTGTGCTGGATTCTGTAGTTTAATGGTTACTATATTCTTTGCGAGGAGCCTGGATTCCAGTCCTTACACCCCCAACCCCATTGTCTGTGCAGAGCTGGAGCCATTAGGAAGGTCCTGGGAACACCTACCAGACTGAGCCCTGTAGGCACTAGAGAGGCTGAGAGGAACTTGAGGCACGTAAGGAAATTTATGGTTGGACACTTCAGTGCCTACAGACTTCAGGCACTTTCAGGGTTAAGCAGCAACTGAGCAGAGGGCTGACATTTTGGACTTAGAGGCCTGCTGTAATAAGCAGTCAAGTCCCTTTGTAGATCTAGCATGTAACCAGGCAGTGCCTCAGCTTCCTGTCTGTCAAATGGGTATATAAACTGGGTTTAGATACCTGGCAGGACAGCTGTGAGAGGTATTTCTAGAGTGTTTTATGATCTCTACACTCAAATGTATTAATATTGGTTTGTTCATTTTCTACGAAATGGAAAAATGTAATTGATTTGAAGTTATATGTATATTTTGCAGCCTTTAAAAATGCACTGCAAGAGTTGTGCGCTAGTAACCAGTTCTGGACACCTCCTGGGAAGCAAACAGGGCAACAAAATTGACCAGACTGAGTGTGTCATACGAATGAATGATGCGCCCACTCGAGGTTATGGAAAAGATGTTGGAAACAAAACTAGCCTTCGAGTCATTGCGCACTCTAGTATCCAGAGAATTCTACGAAATCGCAATGAACTGTTAAATATGAGCCAAGGTACTGTGTTTATCTTCTGGGGTCCCAGCAGCTACATGAGGAGAGATGGAAAAGGTTTGGTTTACAATAATCTGCAACTGATGAACCAAATACTACCTCAGTTAAAAGTATATATGATTTCTCGGCACAAGATGCTTCAGTTTGATGACCTCTTCAAGCGGGAAACTGGCAAAGACAGGTGAGAAAACCTACACAGGTACATTTGAAGGCAATTTCTACAGCTGAAGGACAATGTAGTTTGTTTTTATCAGCTTCAGATCAAATCAAAGGGAACGTTGCACCCATTAAATGTGCTTGTCTTATCAGTTGTAATATGATTTTACATGCCAAATAACACTTACTCTTTGTAACTCAAGTAAAAAATGTACATCCAAATAATACGTATTGAATATTTCCGCATCAAATTTTAATATAAAAATGGAACAGGCGATATGCAACCAAGTAAGAACTTTACAGAAACAAACAACAGAGAGGTAGAAATGGTGGTTAAATCTCACTTTGGGGGAATATACCTGAAAGCAGTTTTTTACTGGTTTTGAAAAATCAAAATTGATAGGTTATGCTTTCCTATAGAGGAAATGCCACTGTTCTGTGAATTATAATGGCTGTTTATTGAATTTAAGCATTCTTGGAACATTGCAGCTGTAAAGCTTCTTGTAAAACAAATACACATTATTCATACATTAGATGCTTCTGAATAGCTCATCTTACATTTCCAGCTGGGAAAAGGGGAGTTGTTATGATAGTTACATCTTTATGAAAGTGTCTGTTATTTACAGACTTACAAATCACATTTTTAATAAGTGACCCAATGCAATGCAAGAACTTTGTTATATATAATGTAAAAAATGGGTATTTAAGCTATTTTCTAAAGGAAAAAGCTCCAAATGTATTATTTTAAATAAATGAATGCTTTTATATATTAAATAGGCATAATTAAAAGCAGTATAAGGGTCCCCACTTAATACAAATGAAGAGCTGAGTTTACGATGCTGTAAGTCATGAGGAAGTGTCGTTTACTCAACCATAAACTGCATCCAGAGTCCAAGCCCAAGCCTGGACATGGTGTTGTGGGGGGACATGCCTTTCAGTCTTTCAGGCTCCAGGACACAACCAGAGCTCCTCCATAGGAGACTATTGCACTTTGTTGGATGAAAGGACCATCTCCTGGCTCTGTGTTTGTTCCTAGCCTGGGACAACATGACTGTGGCCCATCAGGGCTCCTTGGGTCTGCCATAATACAAGTAAGAAAATAATAGTGAAGTTGAGTGAAGTTCTCCATGCCCGCCCTTTATGAGTCCAGCCTACAAGGTGGAGGATCACAAGAACAAAGCAGCAGGAAGTCTTCTAACCCTAACCACCCTTGCCATAGTTAGCAGCCCTCTAAGGTATCTGAATCCATCCTGCCCCCCAAGGCTTGTCCCTCCCACACTGTCTCTATCTTTATTGCCTCTGAAGCAAAGGATCACTGTCAACCCTGTGAGTTTCTCATGAACCGCCATGCATCCCCACCAGCTAACATTTAATTGAAAACATGATGAAGGTGCTCAGGGCCTCATGCGATTACAAAGCATTGATCCTGGCCTGGCAGCCCACCATGATGCAGAGGTCTGTGTGCACCATTGCTCTACAAACATTAACCATGTAGTAAAGTCCCCTCAACTTTTCCTGGGATGTGGTGGTAGGGACTCTTTCCCCCTTTCCGCCCCATCTACGGTTGTGAGGAGTGATAGCAGCAGGGATACTACCAGCATAGTGAAGTCACTTCTTTCTCCTAATCTGTTCACCCAGAGCAAAGAAGGGGAGGGGGAGTTACAATGGAGGGGGAGATACAATCTTTTCTGATTTCAGCCTATAAAACTTGTGGTGGGAGCATCAGGTATGTAGTTACTGCTCCTGTACGTGGGAGTGATTTGAGCAAGCCATATGAAGCTGTGCAGTGAGGTCAGGGCTTCGCACTTCTGCAATGGCCTTCGGACGAACCGTCTCCTGAAAGGCACAGAGGGAAGTTTAGATTTTAATTACACTATAACTAAGTGTATTTTAGGCCCAGTCCTGAATAAAGTCAAGTCCCAATACGAATCAAGGGCACTTAGATCCTTATGCAATTCAGTCTTACAAACAGGCTCTGTTGGATAGAAGACTGTACACACTGCGCTGTAGCAGAAATATTCCTTTAAAGAAATGCTCCTTCGGAGGGCACGTATGACATACTTGAAGGACTAAGAAGATTAAAACGAGAGATGAAAATAAATGAATAGGCAGCACAGTAAAAAGAAAGGAAGATGAAAGGAAACATGAGTACAAGAAATTTGTAGAAAAAGACAATTTACAGAGCTGTGGGGGCAGGAAAAACATTGAACAACCTAGAATGTTCTCTATTATAATTTTTCTTTTACTGAACACTTTTCTACAGATTGTCTACAGAAAAATGGTGATGGTGGAGGAAGGGAACAAATCTAATTGCAAGGTTGCAATAATCAAGGCATATAGTCTGCTTTTGCTGTTACAAGAAAAGGAGTAATTGTGTATTCATAATGGTTATAAAAAGGGCAGATTTAAAAACTAAAGGAAACCCTTCCAAAAAACATCACCAATTAAGTAGTCTGGTGAATGACAAAGACTCCAGAGTAATATAGTTGATATTGCAAAGTAACTGTACTTGAAATAACTTTATAATTGAATATGGGGACATTAAGAAAATATGATTCAGAACCAATATTACTGTAATTAGATAAAGGAAGCATAAATGAAATAACTGCAGGAAGAATATTTCCACAGAGATTATAAATGAGATTTTGGTGGAGCATAAAGGCCTTTAATTGTAATTTAGTGTGCACTACAGAATTATCAGCACAGTGTGTTAGTTCATCATATAAAAGAATATCTGATAATTCTCCCTAATAAGCACATGACAGCTCTTCATATTCTTTCATTACAGCTGATTAGGTGTAAAAACAGTAGATATTCTTTTGTTCGAATCTTGTTGAAATATTCTGTGAAAAGGCAAGACAATGTAACCCTGTTTCTACACTGTCATCTTGTAGTGTTGGCATTTGAAGCAGTTAAGGAAGCTAGAATGGTGCTTGTTCAAGTTTTCACATTTAACTTCTTTATTTCCATTGTTTGCCTTATCAATTAGTTTGTTATAGCCCATTATTTTCCTATTTATTGAAACTGTGTCAGAGTAACTAGCAAAATAATTGTCTAACCTAAAATGGCCAAGCCCAGCTGGGTGTTCTGAGCAGACTAGATGCTTGGGGGTGGGGAGGGGATCTTGCCTAAACCTCTCGCATCTCAAAAGCAATCCTTCTCTATGAGTTCTTGTCCCTTCCCTCTCCACCTCGTCACTGCTGATCTGGAAATTACATTTTATTACTGTTATCCATCATACTCCAACTGAGATCAGGGCCCCATTGTGTTAGGTGCTGCATATAGATGGATAGTGAGAGAGCAATGTTAACCCTGAGGAGTTCAGGCTGAGATTCTAGCTCACCTTCTTTAGGGGCTGCAATAAAATGGAAGCATCTGACCCAGGAGGGTGATCTGAAGCAACAGGTTAGGCACTGAGACTGTACAGGACTACAGTGAGACCTAGATGTTTCCCAGGAGTGACCCAGATCACCTCTTACTCTGTAGAAAGGTGCCTACAGGTTGCAATAGGAAACAGAGGGTGTGTCTGAATTCCTGCTGCTCTTCAAAACTTAGGGGTCTCACTCAGGGCTGTGAAGGAGGTGCTTTCATTATGTCAGGATTCAAAGGGCAGCATGTATCTGAACTAGTATAGCTAACCACTGTATGAAGTACACCGGCCGTCTGCTGGTAGTGATACTTTTAGCAGGAGCACCTGTCCAGGAAGTTGGAGACCTGAGTCCTAGGTCCTGAAGGGATTTGAACGCTCATCTCTGCTTGTCAGCAAAGTGCTTTGACCACCAAGCTATGGATTACACTGGGGGAGGGATTCTTCCACATTTCCTGGCCCACTGGGTAGCCAAGAGCACAACACTTATGGGTCCAAAGGAAGAGCATGGCCACGTCATTGGCTTTTGGGGTAAGTTTAGCACCTTCCTCCCACCTCTGAGGATTGTGCATAACTCAGTATTAGTTACAAAAGAGTTCCCTCTCACCTTTTAGCCCAAGAGACCAGTGATTAGTGTATGTGTAGGTCTTATGCTCATTAGTCAATGAGCGTACAAGCTGAAGGGGCTTTAAACATCTATCTCCCACTTCCTAGCAAGGGGCTCTGACCACCAGGCCATATGCTACACACCGTAGTGGCACCCTCCACCTCTTCAAGAGGGGACAATATGTAGGGCCCGAAGAGCAGGAAGTTAGGAGTGTGGCTCAGGGAGGTAGCTACTGCACCAGAACAGAGAAGACCCTAGATTGTGGCCCCTGAAGTAGCAGGAACCGAAGGCCCCTACCTGCTTTGGGCAAGGCCAGTCTTTCTGAGCCACGGTCCTTCAAGCTTCCATGCCACATCACTCCAAACATCGTTCTTTCTTAGCTGCTCAGTGGGGCAATTTCTACAGCGGGGACGGAAAGTGTGCTTATAGAGTTTAGCCAGTGGGCTGGTGGCTAGAGTACTTTATTAAGAATAGGAGACTGTAGGTTCAGCTCTCCCCTGGGTGAGGGAGCTCTAGATCAACACAGCACTAGATCCTGTGCTGCTCACTCCCTGCTGTAGTTACTGGACTAGATAGTGTTCATTGTCCTTGTCCTCTTCTAGCACCTGTCAAGAGGTCTAGCTTTATTTTGTTTCCCACGACTAATATTTCAGGAGCTTTCATACAGTTCCTGCAACTTCCTGAGAGCATATGATCACTACAGAGCATAAGTGGCTGGAGTGGCTCCCTTCTGAGCATGCTCAAAGGGCAAGATGTGCTGTGTGGGAAAGGGGACATGCATAAGAGTTAAAGTCTGTGCAGGTATGCCAAAATGCTACCCGTACACCTAAAATTAGCTATTATCCACCAATGGGGGAATTAGATTTGGACCACAAGATTTAACAGGGCCTGGAGAGAAGACTAAGCTGTGTCACCTTTAAAGACCCTTTTCAGTCTGCAAATGTTCAGCAAACCAGGAAAGAAGCCAGGTGAGGCTTCCTTACACTAGGATGTCTGAGGCCTAGATTCATCCCCAAACTCTATTTAGTTGGTATCCCAAAACCCTAACTCAGGTTAGGCATGATAAGAGACATTGTGGTACAGGTAAGGCACAGCAGTGGCTATAGCCAATGAGGAAAGATTTCTTGTTAAGAAACATAGTTAGCTTTCTTAGCATTTGGAGTACATCTGGGATCCAGCATGTACTAATTCTGGCAATATTAAACTCCGTAGGTCAGATTCTTCTGGTCCCACTGAAATAAATAGGACCAACATGAGGCTCTATTTCAGGGGTGTTTAATTCCTGGCTTGTGGGCCAGATTCAGCCCTTGGTGCCTTATCATCTGATCCATGTGTCCTGTGTCCTAGATCTGGTGTGCAGGCCTGACCCTAGGTGCATGGGGTTGGGCAGAGGCAGCATGGGGCCGCAGGGCATAGGGGACTGGATGGGGGTGGTGTGGGACACACAAGACTTGCCATTTACTGGGACCATAGGTCCATCTTGCCCAGTATCCAGTGTCAAAAAGTGGATGCTGAAAGGGGAGATTGACCAGGGTAAGACCAGGGGTTTTTTCCACTGTTCCTCTCTCACTTGCAGCCTGCCTCCAGCATTTAAGGACTGGGAAGTTCCAGTTTAGAGACTGTACCCCTAACTCCCATGCTCAGTACCTTGTATCTAGAATACAAGTAGCTATATTATTTCCAGTATAGCAGAAATCATAAGGGATCAGAATGACATAGTCTATAGTTAATTAAGGTAAACTTAACAAAAAGTTCAGCTAACTATTAACGTGACAGTGTTCAAAATTAATGACAACAAACATATTAGTCCACTGACAGAAAGGACACCAAGGTACTCATTAAGTGATGAATGAGTAGTCTTTCGTTGCCTAATTTTCATTGCCTTTCCCAAGACTGAAAAAAAACTGCCCAGAAATTACTTCAGATATCTCAAGAGTATTTGTCACCCTGGAAACTTAATTATGTCTTTGCTTTCAGGAAGATATCCAACACTTGGCTTAGCACGGGATGGTTCACGATGAGTATCGCAGTTGAGCTCTGTGACAGGATAAATGTTTATGGCATGGTGCCGCCGGATTTCTGCAGGTAAGATTTATTCAGGAAGCGTATTAGCCAGCAAGGGTGAACTTTGTAGATACATATCTGAATCTTTAATTTTTATCCATGAAACATGTCTGCCGTCCTCTCAAAGCAATTAATTAACACATCCCAAGATCTGGTTCTGAAAACAACAAACAGCATTTAATTATGTTATATAAAATATTAAAAAATTTTGTTCATACTGAGGGAGAATTAATCCATCTTTTGGCTTTCTTTTAGCCTCTGAATATTTATCAGCTAAGAGTAATGCAATAATTGGCATGAAATTAATCTGGAAAAAACAGGAGAAAATATCAGTCTTAAATTAAGTGAATTACTTCTGAAGGGATATTTTTTCTACCAGTGAAGGTAGGAAACTCTAATTTGTCTAGTTTCTAAATTCAACTTTTCAGCAGCCCTAATTAAGACCCTTATTTCCCCCATCACAAAAAGCCTGGAACACGAGAGCCCTAACCTGGCCCTACAAAATCTGAATTTGCAAAGTGAATAGTTAAAAGTGTTTGCTCCCCATTTTGTAAACAGAGATGTAGTTTTGCAGGCACACTGAGTTTTGGCAGGTTGGGAGGAGCATAATTGTTGTTTCTGGAAAATTTACCAGTAATGGGAGTTAACCCTTGAGAGGTATCATGCTGGAAAAAAAAAGGTCTGTTATTGATCTGTTTTACAAGACGAAGACCATATTCTCGGGGCTTACAACAAAACAGGGGTTCAGTACAGCATTTCATTACTTGCTCAAGTTGGCACACTCCCCATTCCAAGTATTGTTTTTCTCTGACGTTTCCACAGCAAACTTTTTTATCTTAGTGAAGTCTGTTTTATAATGACATATCATTCAACTTTGCAATAACAGCAAGGTTTCAGAGAGAGCTTGGCTCATTATATTCATTGTCAAGGCTGCTTTTATTGTTTTTAATTCCTTGAGCCTTGAAAAGCAACTGCTAAAGGCCTTGCAGTTGTTCAGGGTAGGAACTAAAGATCCCACAAAATGCAAAACAAAAACATAACACCAAGTTATGCTTGGGGAAAATTTGTTTCAATTCCTAAAAGCACTGAGGACATATGTTATAACTTGGACGGTCCTTGGGGTTGGTATGGCACAAGTGCTAAGACTTGTGATTGACAGGCCAAAGGTCGCAAGTTTGAGGTAAGAGCAGAAGCACTCATGGCATGGCCCTGTCAGATGCCAATGGATCTGCAAATTCTTCTAAATCCCTTGTCACAAGGGCACAAGAAAGGAAAGGAAAGGAAGGATTGTCCCTACTAGGGATCCCAGATTTCATTGGGAACTCTTGAAGGAAACAGTCTGACTCAGGCATCATAAATAACTCCTGCTGACAGTGCCTGCTTCTTCTCTGTCATATCACTTCGATAAGACATCCTTGTGCACTTCCTACTCCAAAATGATAATGTTTTTGGCACCCATTTTAATGGCTGCCTTGTCCTAGCCCAGAAATGGTTGTATTCCAGTGGTAAATAAAATGTTCCTTATGCCTTCATCGGTTATAAATCTTTATAATGCTTTAATTCAGCGTAAAGCAAGGCAGTCTTTCTTTGAACATGTGTAAAACCTTCATGAGAATTAATGCATTGTAGCCAAATGGCATAATAGTAAATTGTAACACAAGAAATAATATTTACTGCTATTGATATACATAGTTAATGTTTATAGCTGGTATTAACAAATTATAGCACAAAGGTTCATTTACCTACTTGTGTAAAGGGGAAATGCAGCTTCCTAATGAACAGAATTTAAAATATCTTCAGTGTGCCTCGTAAGACTGCAGAGGCTTTGCCTGGGGAAGGTCACGCATAGAACACCTTGAAAAAGAACCTGGTGCTCTTGTAACTGTAGCATGAACCACTTGGTTTGTCTTTAGTTCTTTAATTAAAATCTAATATATTCTAGCAAGTACTTCATGATGCTTATTTTCAAAGACAGGGCAGCAACATTCATTTTAACAAACTACTAAAAGTGATTCAGTATGTTAGCTGAAACTGATAACCTGCATAAATTGCTATAGCAAAGATTCATAGAAATGAGCTGTGAAAAATCTTGACATCTAAGCTGTGCTTCTGTAGTATACTTATAACACATCTAGTTCAGGTAGGGTACAAATGTGCAGTAAAAAGAACTGTTTCCCATATTTATACAGGTAGATACAGATAGGCATGCAGTATTTGATATTCAGCGAAATAATCAGTATTAAATATAAGGGATTTGTAAAGTATAATTTTTATTTCTGTTCAGAGGTAGCATACCACCAAATTTACAACTGTAACTGTGGCCCATTATTTCTTAAGTATTAATTAGTTGAGTAATGAGTCTGGGTGATCACTGTCATGGAACTACATTAATATCACATCTGTAATGTGAAGGACATCTCAAAGGTATCATGAATATCACATAGTTGATTCTGTTAAAATTATTAGCTTAAGTTCATTAACCAAATTGCTTTAAACCAGAGCAGGGAAAAGAATTCTAGCTGAAGGAATCTGTGCTACAGAATGAAAAGGTTTCATCCTTAATGCCAGCACACCGTAGTTTTATTGAGTGATTTATGCATGTAACTGAAATATTAGCTTTTGTTGGCAGTTGCAGTGGAAGTAGAATTGTAGATTTGATTATTGTGAATATCTGATGGTCATAAATGCACAAATAAGATTGACTCTGTTCATGAGATCCCTTCCAGCCCTACGAAAGAATGAGGAAGTGTCCTCCTTGCCAAGGTCCTTGCTTGGTAACATAGCAGCTGCCTTTTCTGTTCCTGCATCTCCTGGGGCTGCTCAGTATTATCTGTTGAAATGACACAGGGGCTTAGTGTTACCTCTAGCAGTAGTAACTCCAGAGAGAACATCCACCAGGTGCTTAAGGCAGTCAAATCAGGGAGAATATCAGGGAGAATATCCCCAAATTCCCTGAGCTGAGTTGCAAAAGAGTGCTGGGTGATGGAGGATGGTGCTATATACCATTTGCTGTCTTCTGCACGGACCCTATGGAGTTCATCCCACCCAGAGTGTACTCTGTCCATTAATGTAATTGCATAACAAGACCCTAAATCTTTACAGACCAATTTCAGAGGCAGTTCAGAGCCATGTTAAAAAAGCATGTTGTTTTCCTACAGAGGACCATTTTTTGGAGGCTAAGCCATTTCCTACCTGTGATAATTTGCCTGGAAATTTGTGTTCGAAGTGCTGTAATTTATTTCTTTGGCCACCACATCTAAATGTGATGGTCTTGCCACCTCCCACTCCCAACTTCCAGCTGCCTCCTTGCAAATGTATGTAGCTATAGTTGCTTAATTGTATGTGGTGGAATTATGCATTATATTTCCAAACATGTGGCAAATATTCATGAGACCCCATCTCTTTTAGTCCATCCTCCTTGGTCTAAGTGGGAGTATTTCCTGAGTAAGGGATGCATGATTTGGATCTGTATAATCAGGAGTGAGTTGCAATAGGTGCTTGGAACAATTTTAACTGTCCTCGATAAGAAATGAGACAAGAGCAGTAGGACATTAGGAAGAGGAGGCAAAATAATCTAGAAATCTTTACAGCTCTGGCACAAAATCCATTGTTTGACATGATAATTTACTCACCATTCAAAATGTATATATTACTTACCCGAAGTGAGGAAGTGCATATCAGCCTGATTTATAACCATTTTAATTTGTAAAGGAAGAGGTTGACTGCAATAGGATATGGGATGGCCTTGTTTTTCTGCCTTGTTCCTTTTAATACAGACACAATTTGCTGTATTTTTCAGGTACCTGTGTGGGTGGATACCATCTGTGGAAAAATGTGCACTGAAGTGGTAAAGAGTAAATGATTGACACTGGGTACAAGTGCTTATTGTGTCACAGCGCTGGCAGGCTATTAGTTGGAAAATATAGTATATTTTACAAACTGCCTTCCCCAGATTTCTCCCAGCTGTGATATTAATATGCATGCTAACACTGACAAAATACTGATTAATGTCCAGTATCAGTCAGTAGTAAAATAGCATCTGTTTTAATGCTAATAAATGATGTGGCTAGCAATTTCCTCATAGAAATTACTCATGCATTTCATTTTCTGGTGACACAAGTTAATTGCAGAGTTAGGGGATAACATGGTACAGTTAATTTGGGTTACATGTTAGTAACCCAAGCCACACAGTTCAGATCCAAATCTAACTTCCTTGAAACCGATGGTACTCCATGCTGGGATGCTAGTATGTTATTCAGATGAGGAGTAGAGAGTAGGTATAAAAAGGCAGATCCATACAGAGATCTAAGTGCCTAATTGCTATGGCGGGTACCTAAATTTCGACTTTAATACTCTGACACTTTGCTTTGGTTCCATCTAACTCAGGAGTTGCTTGAAATCCATTGGTTCTTCAGCTTCCTCTGAGAAAATATCTACACTTCTAGCAGGGGTTGTGCACAAAACCACACAAGTCCTGATAGGCAGGACAGTGCAGGTCCATGCCCAGAGCCCACCAGGATGGAGACCCTAAGAGCTCCTTTGCCTGCCAGGCCTGATTCAGTAGTGTTTTTAGAGGATGGCTGCCAAACCGAGCTTCATACAGAGAGAGGCTATAGCTTGGTGGTTAGAGGATTTGTCTATAAGACCCTGGGTCTGGCATCTTCTCCATGAATATTTATGTAATGCAAAGTGGAATAGCATTAACAGGAGAGACTGAGATACCTTCTTAGAATACCCACTTGCTTAATGGTTAAGTCACTGAGATACTTTACATACCTCAGGGTTCAAATCCTTGCTTCAAATGAGACAGAGGTGGCTCTTAGCTAAGTCCCTCATACTAGGTGACTGCTTTAAGTACTGATTTGTTAGGTAAAATGAGGGAAGACGACTGCCATCCTCCTCTCCTCCCAAATACATGCAAACAAATTGACTGGTCTTAGGTGCTTAACTCTAAACCCTACTTCCCTTCTCAGCATTCCCTTCTGCCTAGTTTAAATGTCTCCCACCCAGTCCCCCACCATCTTTCTGGCTGTTTGTGGATCTAATTCTTAGGTGCACTGTATAGGTACCAAAGCTTCTAATTCTTTTCCTATGCACTGTATAAGCAGCCACAGCCTCTAACTCAAGGCTTTGAATTCCAGTATGGAGAAGATAAAGTCAGGTTTTATAGTGCTATGCTTAAGACCCCTTTGTGTTTATAGCCCTAAATTCCAATCTAAATCTGGATGTTCTCATCCCCTAAATTTGGCAGGTTTAGGCAGATGGTTTTGGTTCAGACCCATTTCTACTTGTTAACTTTATACAGAATGGGTAAAAGACTGATCCTGGAAGTGATTTCATGAGCAGATATCTGTACCTATGATGTCCCACTGGAGTCACTTACTGGATTGGGGCCTAAAATAATGTTTTGTTAGGCAGTAGCTATAAAGCCAACCTCACAAAGGGGGTCATTGATGTTAGGTATCTAAATCCTATTAAAAGCAAAGCCAAGAAGTTATAGACCTTGTCAGCTATAGCTGGCTGCCCTACTGTGGGGAAGCTTGGCCTACTATAGAAACTTCCTAACAAAGCAAAAAGTAAGACCCACCACATTAATCTGATTACATGTTTGCAAGGAGAGAGTAAGGGGACATACAACAGATGAGTTCCAGCTTCCTTTCTTCTTTCTTTCCAAGTTCTTGGGTTCCCAACTCAGAACCCTGAATAATACATTTGAATTAACTCCTTTAAATAGTTGGGGATGGGTCAGTTCCTAATATCTTAGATCTTTCCCCTGGAGGCATGGGATTTCTGCCTAATCCAGTCCTAACGTAGCTTAATCCCAAATTGGCTATCTCTCCTTAATATAATGCAACCTTCAACAGTTTAAGAGGCCAGGAAGAGCCAGGCCTAGCAAAGCTAGAGCAAATATAGCATGATTTGCCCATCAGCAGTTAAGTCAAGTGCAATCCAAAGTGCGTGCATTTATTATATGGATATCATGGGCCAGATCTTAACAGCACTGATTTTATACCTGTGAATTTCCACTGATTTAAATGGAATTACACAACACTGGAGAAATCAGGGTAAAATCAGGTTTCACGGAAAGGAACAATACTCTAAAACAAAGGCACATACCTGTAAATATATTGTGAGTCTTTCTATTTAAATATCACATTAAAATATAAGCTGTTAGATTTATGGCAATGGTACAAACAAACACATTCATCTAGGAGACTGTTTTCCTTTATAATACCTTGGACCTTTTATAATAAACTTAAAGCATGTGAAATTAATTTAAAATTGAGATCTAGCACTCTATACTTGATGATAGATAAGTAATCTATGTTTGGTACATATATATATAAGCCCCATTTTTTAATTCAAAACTGTGCGTATATAGATGTATTAATAGATTTCTCTAAGTTCCAGGGTGGCTATGTACAATAAGTTCAGAATCAATCTTATTTTCAAAAATGTAATTATATAGTTATTGTGGTTGTGTATAAGATTGATCTCAGGGTTGTGTTATTAGAAAGCTAGATTGATTGAATTAAAATGTTAATCTAAGGAATAAATGGAAAGCAGCAGCAATTTTTTACATTACTGCTATACATGCAATATAGAGGATGAAAAGTCAGAAAAAAATTAAATACTTCTGTAGATGACAGATTGTATAAAATAATAATAATGGCCCCAAACAAAATGCAGATAGATATTTCTGTATATTTGACTGAAATGAAATTCAAGGACTGAATATTTTCTTTTCCAACTAAAAATAATAAAGCCTTGTTTACAACTGGCAGCCCTGATTCTGCATCAGTATGTTCCTGCAATGTATCAAGGGGCCAGTTTACCACTTAGTGGTAAGGCAAGGCTCCTCTAAGTTGCAACACTATGCCAGTGCAGGATAGGTAGCCAACCGGAGGGGCTAGGCAGGCTATAGAACCATCATGTGGGTTCGAGTTGACTAGAAAATATTCCTAGATCTTGTTTTTCTACAAATGCAAATAACATCCTCTTTAATTTGCCAGAATTACATTAATTTGGATGCTTTTTTGTGAGACCAACTTAACCGGGCCCATAGTAAAAGCAGTGTAGAGGGTAATCTGTATAGTTTTCAAAACAACAGAGACACACAAGGCAGGCATCTGGAAAATAAATTACTCATGCCATTAGACTTAAATATAAGCAGCTTTTCAAAAGCAGGCACCATCAATGACAAGTTAAAAAGGGTTAAAAAGATCTTTGACCCAAACAAATCGCTCCTTCACACAGAAAGTCTTTATGAAGTGTTGTGTTATAGCAGGGGTGTCAAGCCATCCCCGTGAGCTGGGGGAAGGTTGCTAGTCTTGTCTAATGGGCCAAACCTGGACTGATCCCCTGTGCAGTGCTCATGGTGCTGAGTGCCACCTGCATGCCATATGCAACACATGCACGCCTTGGGTCTCACTGCACATGGCACAGGGCATGTACTACCTGTGGTGTGCAGCCTGGACCTGACACTGCAGGCAGCACAGGGGGTCCAGTCCAGTGCACAGTGTACAGCCCTTGCCCCAGACCCCCAGTGTCACATGTATCACTGGGTCCAGCCTGTGCACTGCATGCAGCATCTGTCCTGTGCCAGCCCTGGTTGTCATGTGCACAGCAAACCACAGAGCCAGCATGTGCTGCATATAGCACATGGGGCTGGACTGTCTGCACACGCTGCGCACAGCATGGGGGGGCTGGCATGGCGTACCCTGCACACTGGCTCTGGCATGGCCCAATCCAGACTGGCCCTGTAGTTAGTACATAGGGCCAGATCATATGGTTCCATACGTCCAATCCAGCCTATGACCCTTATATTTGACATCCTGTACTATAGGGTAAGTTTTCTGCTGAGTTTTGTCGATGCAGTCACAAGGTCAAAAAGATGACATGGGTGATAGTATAATAAATTTGTGTGCTTGGTCTACTTGATTATCAAATGAGCATCAGTAGGTTATACCATCATCTTGGTATGTCTGGGAGGCTGTAATGAAATTGGGTGGTTACCTTCTGGGTTACTGCATCAATGCTGTTCACATGAGCTGATGTGAGAGAATTCAATGACTGGGATCAGGTCCTTTCCCCTGTTCTGTACCATGAATGCCTCTGTAGGTCTTCTCACCAGTCACAAACTAGATATAAATCTCTCTCAAACATCATGCTTCAGCACTGCAGCATGCATTGTTTTTGAACTCCTATAGTTATTTAGTTAACTGGAAGAGGATGGGGGGAAAAGGCTTCGCTTTATTCAAATACTGTTTAAATAAACTAGTGAAAGGCAAGCTGCTGGAAATGCAGTTTAACTGCGATAAAAAATGATTTGAACCCATCAGCTTATTAGAGATAACATCTTTTTTCAGTCAGTAAAAAGAACATCTTGGGCTTCCATCTATTTTCTTCCTTCCACAGGGATCCTAATCATCTTTCAGTACCTTATCATTATTATGAACCTTTTGGACCTGATGAATGTACAATGTACATTTCACATGAGCGGGGACGAAAGGGCAGTCATCATCGTTTTATCACAGAGAAACGAGTATTTGAGAACTGGGCACGGACCTACAACATTCACTTTTTTCAACCAGACTGGAAACCCGAATCACTTACTATAAATCAGCCTGAGATTAAACCGGTGTTTTGAGGAATGAATGCACAAGACTGCAATCACAATCATCTACTGTACCAGGCTTCAGGGTACTGAACCTCTGCTAACAGCAAACCAGCCTAAAAGAGAAAGGTTAACAGGAATTGTGGATGAAAATGCTACAATATTCAGGAAGTTACTGTGAAAGAATACTTAAAAGGACATTTTGTATCAAAGTGTATCTTAATCCAATATACTGTATAAATTGTCCAGCTATCTGACTTCCTGTACGTGTATGTGATTTGTAAAAAGCAACCTGAACATCATTAATAAGATATTTAATTCATTATTGTTTTTTAAGGTACAATGCCCCTGAATTTTCATAGTGTAAACTTATAGTACTTATTTAATAGAGGTTTTTATGCAACCTAGGCCAGTATTTTTCTAATTCACAATTATGTGGTGATTTACCTTTCATAATCCCTCAACTCCCAAATTAATATTGCTGATGGTTTAGAAAGGCCTAGCTTCTTATTTAGAAGTTTTCTCTTTGAAAAATATGATTCTATCTAGCATGTAATTAATATTTGATCTGGAAATGTTGCATTTCTTTTTAAATGACTCCAGCATGGAGTCATTAACAGCAAGAACATTCCCATGTGAAGGTCTAGTTAAGACTCTACATTCTTACAGCTCATGTTACTATGAAAATGGCAAAGAAAATTCCTTTTGATGTAAATGTACATGTGCAGCTATAACATCAGGCTTCTCTTTTTTTTTAACTGGATGGGGGAGCGGCAAGGCAAGGTCTACTGCATTATGTTCTTAGTCCTCATCACCATCTGTGGCATTGTATAAATAATCAAGAAATGAGAGGAGTCAATGTTGGAGGTCTAAGAGCTTTCTTAAGACAGCCAGAAGTGGATTCAAAATATGTGATCAGGTGCCTTCCCCTCCAGAAGACAGTGGTATTTCTTACACAATGATCTCAGTCTACATCAGCCAGAAGAATATATATAAGTTGTGTTTTATCAGATTGCCACGCCAAACTTACTGCATTTCACTGTTTCATTAACTTTACTGACTTTTTCCTTGTAGATTCTGGATTGCATTAAAGTTAAGAACCTGAGTGAATTGAGTTCTCTGGGTCTGAAATGGTCCTGATAAAGACAAAAAACTTGGTACTTTCTTCATAATGCACTCAAGAGGGCTAGTCCCAGCAAATTGAAGTGGTAGACATGAATAGTTCTGTATATGGAAACTCACATTGTGTCTTACTGGATTATAACTGGCTTCTGAATAAAGAGGATTTCATTTGCAGTGTGTTTTGCCCTTTCACTTCAAAATACTAAAACTTCCTCCTTCAGAGTAATTGCTGGGGGTAATTTACTTATTACATTGAACACTATAGTTCAGGTGCTAAAGCTCATTCATTATACAAACACTAAAATTAGAAGGATGCAATTGTTTGTGGTTCATCCTGAAACACTAAAAGCCAAGAAGCTCAAACCTAAACTGCAATATGTCATGGGAGTGCAGCTAAATTCAGAGTTACTTAAGCCCATTATGACCCAGTGCCCTCAATAAGATCACAGCAAGTAGAAATGACTGGCCAGATTCAGACCTGATATGAATCGCTTCCAGCCTGTGGAAGCTTCTGGGCGGTTTTCAGTGGGGGAGGTTGGTCCAATAACAGGTGTGCCGAGTGAAATAGCTTTATTTATACCAACTGAGCATTGAGTGTGCATCTGAACAGTCACTGCACAGAGGTGGGAAGGGCAGCAGTAAAAGAACTAACAGGAGGTACAAATTAGATCAGCCCTTCTGTTTTATGTTAAACCTCCCTCTTAGGTTTTTTCCCCTCCTGCACACTATCTCCTAATGCAAAACCTGAATCCTAATCTAGGACAGGCTAAGCTGCTTTGCCAATTATTTATTTACAACCATTCACGAGCCAATTTTCATCCGATGCTGAACATAAACCTTTTATTGATGGCGTTGTCTCCCACCCATGTTATTTCAAGGAATCTTAGAAAAGAATGGATTTTAACCTAATGATCAGTTGCATGTCCCTTTCAGCCTGGCTGCTGGGGCAAGTCCAGCATGTATTGTTCAAGTTGATGAACTTTTGGCAAACTGATTTACAAGTCATTTTTAATGCAACTGTAAAAGATTTTATTATAGATTACATTGGCTCCTTTGATGTCACAATGGCCTATCTTTTAGATATTTTATTAATAGTTTCATAATAAAAGGATTTTTGTCATGATAAAATATAGCAGTCTTAGGTCTTCCATCACCCTATGGCTGCAGGACATGGTATGTGTGTGCGCAGTAAAATCCTTAACAAATTGTTGTTAAAAATAGATTAGACAGTTATAATAGACCCTTCTCTATAGCGGATAGGGAAATAAGAGTTGTCAAACAGGAATCACACATGAGATCCTTGTATTCCAATAACCTGTCTCCAGCAGTAGAAAATATGAAGTAGGCCAAAAAAGGCATAAATAATTAGAAGATAATGTGCACCTAAGTTAGGTCTTGAGCACCCAGAGAATTCCTTGAAGCTTGAATCATGAATGTAATTTTTTTGTTAACAGTCACCATTATAACTCTCAATGGTTTTGGTCTCCTTCTAAACACTCAGTCTCTTTTTAAGTCTTGGTATGGTCTTGGCCTCAGCGAGTTCCTCTGACTTTAACTGCAAGTCTGATTACACGTTGTATGAAAAACCAGTTTCCTAAGGATGCAATGCAGAATTCAGATTCATTGCCCAAGGAATTTGTTGAAGCCATGAATTTAGGATTCTAAACAGTATTGGTCATTTATATGGCAAGAACTTTTTGTCTCGTCCAGTTAAAAACACATCTTCAATATGAATTTGTGATAATAATTGACAGGCTAGACAGATGTAGGGCCACTAGGTACCACTGTCACGTTCTCTTTTAAGCTCTCATTCTAGGTCTGATGTTCCATGTTGTTACTGATTTGTGAGCTTCAATGTACATCTTAAAAACTAAAAATGATTTTTTAAACAAGGCTTACAGATATCAATTTTAAGATATACTTAATTTTAAATTTGAACGTCCAATTTACTTCTCTCGTTTACCCAGATTAATTACAGCAGAAATTTTTCAGTTTAAGAACTATCATTCTGTTATGACATATGCAACTGGAACTGAACATGACAGGGAATATCTCTGCAACCAGGTATGGAGAAATTGGTTGCATTTGTTTATCACAAAAATGTTTGCCTAACCACACTAGGTTATAAAATAATAATACCATGCACTTTAAAAGAGCTTTTCATTCAAAGGTCTCAAAGGACTTTACAAAGCTAAGCAAGTACTATTTATTCCCATAGTTAGAGATAGCAAAACTGAGAAACAGGTGAAATAACTTGTTCAAAGTCATGTTAGAAGTATAATACCAAATCAGAGAACAGAACTCAGGTCTCCTGTTAAACAGTCTCTGCACTAAACTTTAACATCAGGAATAAAGACTGCACAGACTGAATCAGTTGTTTCACATGGAAAAGGATTCTAGATGTTTACAATGCAGTGAAGTAAATATTCATCCAAGAAAAATATTTAAAAATCTTAAGGGTATAATCCTGCTGTTCTTCCTCAGGAAAACTTCTAATGGAGATCAATGGGTGCATCTAGATGAGCGCACACATGCATTTCCCCGGTGACAAATAGCAGTGGCACAGTTGTGCTGCTGGTACTTGTCCCCAGGCATTGACCCTGCACGTACACTCCACCACACGGCAAGTTGCCCCATGTGAAGTAGGGGAAGCTGGGGCCAGCACCTGGACTGGCCCCAGCAGCCTTACCTGGGGCTCCAGTGGGAACAATCTGACAGCAGGGTCCCCTGGCCGGCAGGTGGAGCTGGCCAGGCTCCAGTTGCAAGTGGCACACACTGCTGCCACGTACACTGCCCTGCTTTTTTCAGGCACAGGTTTTTCTGGCACCAGGATCTCCCAGTGTCAAAAAACCTGCTTCACTTCAAATTAACAGCATGGTGAATGCCTACATGTGCAACATGTGTGGTTTGCAGCACTGCAGGCAGGTCTGCAGCATTACATACCGCAGGTGTGTGCTAGTCTGGATGCATCCAATGGGTTCTACCCAAGCAGGGTGTAAGGACATCAGGATTTATGACTAGGAGGAAAATACTCAAATGGATCCTTTGAAGGTAAAGTAAATAAAAGAAAGCTCTTTGATGAGATCCTCACCTAACCCACAAGACAGTTACTCCAACAAATAAAAAGGAAACATCAGGAAACAGGGAAATTAGCTAAATGAAATAAGGGTAGTTGGTTGTAGCCATGTAGTCTAAGGACATAGGCAGACAAGGTTCTTTGGATAAATCTGATATATTTTATTAGACCAACTAGTTGGAAAAATTGTTCTTTGCAAGCTTTTGGGCACAAACACCCTTCTCTGGGCATCAGGAGAGTCTGGTGTTGTTTGTGTGCTCTCCTGGGTGGAATGGAAGTCAATATGCAAAATACAGGTCTGTAAAAATGCAAATGCTTGGCAGTGAGAATCAGAGGGAAAGGGAGACAATAGGTGAGAGGCAGGTAGGTGGGGTGGGGAAGGGGGAATGTTGAACTGGTGATAGAATGAAGCTGGCAAATTGCAGACAAATTACCTGGGGTTATTAGATGTCAGGCAGGTTATCATGTGCCATAAATCCAATGTCTATAGTTAATCCATTTTTTGTATCCAGTAGATTTATGAAGTTTGTAGGCTCGTCTACGAAAGGTGTTTTGTAAGTTCACTTTGAGGATTAAAACTGAGAGGTTTGGAGAGAGAGCGGTTGTCTTGTGAGAAGTGTGCACCCACAGGTAATTGGGTATTTTTGTCTTTGGCAGATTTTGGTGTGCGGTCATTCTGGTATGCAGTTGTTTGGTTTCTCCATTTAGTGCACTGGATGAGATGCATTACATTTCTGGAGGTGCAGGTGTAAGATCCAGGAATGGTGATGGTTCTGTTGTGGGGTGTGTAGTTATTGTGGAAGTGGTAGAGATGTGTTGGCAGGTTTTACATTCCTTGTCCTGGCATGGTCTGGATCCATTCGGTGTGTTTTGGACCATAGGAAGTTGACTTCTGGTGATGAGGTTAGCGAGGTTTGGTGCTTGTTTAAAGGCTAGCATGGGTGGTTCTGGAAAGATCTCTTTAAGGATTGGGTCTTCTTCTAGTATGGGTTGCAATTGTTTGAGGAATTTCCATGTAGGTTCCAGGGAAGGGTGGTAGGTCATAACTAATGGTGTGTGGTTCATAGGGATTTTCTTTTTGTACTGCAGCAATTTTTCACATGGTATCAAGTGGCTCTTTCAAAAGTGTGGTCTTGCTCTCTGAAGGAGTGTCCAAGGCTTCTTGGGTGAAAGCCCTTTTGAGAATGGAGCTGACGATTGCGGGTATTCTCCTCCATGCAGATTCAGCGGTATCAAAGGGCTTACTGTATTTACAGCTTTCTTGGTGTGTTTAGGGTGATTGCTGGTTCTGTACAGATATGTATGTTGGACTGTGGGTTTCTTGTATGTGGTGTTTGTATTTTACCATTCTAGATATTGATCATAGTGTCTAGAAAGGAAATGTTGGTGCTGAAGTATTCAAGAGATAGTTTGATGGAGGGGTGATGGTTACTGAATTTATGGTGGAATCAATCAGAGACTCCAGGTTTTTGGTTCAAATGATGAAGATGACATCTATATATCTTAGGTATTGCATGGGTTTGATGGTGCAATTCTTGAGGATCTTGAGTTCTTCCAGGTGGGCCATAAAAAGGTTGGCACATTGTGGGACCTTTTTGATACCTAAAGCTGTGCTCATGTTCTGCAGGAAGTGTTGGTTATTGAAACTGAAGTTGTTGTGTGTGAGGATTAAGTGTATACGTTCAGTAATATCTTGAAGTCTGTACTCTGAGTTGTAATCTTGCTCTTGTAGATGTCAGGCAGGCTTGGATGCCATTCTGGTGTGGGATGTTATTATATTAGCTGGAACTTCCCTGGTGGCTAAGAGAGTATTGCTGGGAAGGTGGTCTGTTTTTAAATTTTCATAGAAAGTCTGTTGTGCCTTGGAGAAAACTCAGTCTTTGGGTAACAAGAAGTTTTAGGATGGATTTGATTAAACCTTATACTTCCCCAGTTAGGGTTCCATAGTTGGATAGGATATTATAGGTCTGGGTTCCCTTATTTGTGGATTTTAGGGAGCAATGTTTTTTGTCTCAACATAAATTGATGATAGCCTCTTAGGTATGATGGTAGTCATCACTCTGCAAGGTAAACACCTAAAATAGGCTGGATCTCAGAGAGC